ACAGCGTGAGCGGGGAAGGGACAGAGAGAGAGGGAGACACAGAATCCGAAGCAGGCTCCAGGCTCTGATCCGTCAGCATAGAGCCCGACACAGGGCTCGAACCCACGAACCCTGAGATCGTGACCTGAGCTAAAGTCAAATGCTTAACCGACTGAGCTCCCCCCGCCCCAGGTGCCCCAGAAGCACCGTGTAAACTGGATGTCTTGCTGGAGGACCATTAGCAGCAGGCAGGGGCCTAAACAGTGTGAGTCTCTGTAAACAGAGCCTATGAGCTTTGGGCTCCAGCACTTTTGCTAGCCGCACTGTGAAGGCACGCTGGGGTCAGTGATGTAGACTCTCCTGGGGCCTCAGGGTCCAGAGCCGGCATTTTGCAGGGCAGCCAAGTTACCTGATGAGCAGGGCCATGTGGACACTCCTGGGACAGGCTCTTTGGACCTGCCCACGTTGGATTCCTACTTGCAGTTTACCATCACTGATATGAAGTCTAGACTGGTCTCCTCTGAAATGTGTCTGAAATCTGCTGCCCCATTTCCATTATTGAACCAATATCTGGTTGCTCAGCCCTGCTGGTTTATATGTCTGGCTTCCTAATGCATGCTTGTTAATAAAGTACTTTCCTGGAGGTTTTGTAAAGAGCCCAGGTTTCTTTTCTTCTGGAGAGAAAGAAAAAAAAACACAGTAAATCACTCATGATTCTGTTTATAGATGGCGACTTTTGGAGCTTTCCTCCACAAAGGGGCTTTCTGCAGGAACTACTTCAATCTACTGGATATGCTGGTTGTCGGGGTATCCCTGGTATCATTCGGGATCCAGTAAGTATTCTGGGGTGGGCGTGAGTGTGTGAGCACAGGACTCTTGGGCAGGATGGTTTCTGTGAGGGATTTTAACATAATTCATAAAGGCTAGGCATCACTTTAACAAGTGCATTCAGTTACCCCGGAAAGCCCGATTTGTGTGCATGCCAGAGGGCATTGGCACTGTTCGTGTTTCTTGTGTTTCTCCTTCTCTCCATGCCCCCTGCCAGGTTGGGCATATTACTGTCTGTGATATTTGCTTTCAACAGAGAAGTCTGAACTGGGAGAGAGGGAAGCCCGGTTCTAGTTCAGCTTCCTCCCGGGCATCATGTAGTCCTTCTCTCAAAGGACTACAGTTCTCATACAAGAGGGGGCCTCTGGGGGAACTTTCAGATTGGATATTGAAGGCTTCCTCCCTTGATCTCCAGGATATAGCAGCTGCCATGACCCCTTTCTTTTGTCTTCTACAAGTTTCAGCTAGAAGGGGGCAGAGGCTACAACTCAGGGCCCCAGGGCCTTTCCATGGCCTTTACCAATGTCTGGTGGGGAATAGCCCCAGCTGCAAGCTGCCTGCCTGCTGTACCTCGGGGGTCTGGGGCAGAAGTTCCCATAGGAATGTCCCGCCGTGGCCTTGCTTTCCTGCTGACTTACAAGTACCTGTGCTCAGGTGCTGGCCATCAGTACCCCCTATGAGGAAACGTGCTCACCTACTACCTCCGAGCTCAAGTTAAATGGGGAGGCTGCATCCCCCTCAGAAGACCGACGACCCCTGCCTGAGATGGCCCTCTGTGCTGGTCCTCACCTCCCACCACTGCCCAGGGGGAGGGAGGCAGCAGCCGCAGCTAGAGAGAGGGTGTTCTCACAGCATCTTTGCAGGCCCCATAAATGCCAGGCTGTGTCTGCCCTCTGCCTCCCGAGCATGTGCTCCAGCCGCCTGAGGGGCTGCGTGAGCCGTGTTCTCCCGTCTGCCCTGGAGCACCCCCGCCTTTGTCCAGCTGACCCCTGGACTCACATGGCTACCATGTCCCCAGCTCCCGGAGGATGTGCTCTCCTGGCAGCCTGTCCTGCATCCCCTCCGTTGTCAGCCCCACCACACAGGTGGTGATTGCGTCCCACCCAACAGCGAACTCCGCAGAGGCCAGAGAAGCCCCGCACAGGGCACCACAGCAGCTCTCCCACCTCCGAGAGCAAACCCGAACAAACAAACCTGCAGCCTGAAAGCCAAGGACTGCCTAGCATTTACATTGAGCAAAAAGGACAAAGGAAATTGCTAAATTGTGCCTCTGCTGCCTTAGCTCCATGCCCCAGTCAGGGCCTCTGCGAGTCCCATGGGCCTGGCCCAGGAGGGGCCGTGAGTGTGGGCTGGATGGAGAAAGACCTATGTGTGTGTGAGTGTGTGTGTGTGTGTGAGTGTGTGTGTGTGTGTGTGTGTGTGTGTGTGAGAGAGAGAGCGCGCGCGCGCGCTGGGGGGAGGGGCACTGGGGGGAGGTGAACTCAGCCCCACACGGGCCATGGTCCTACAGTGAAGGCCGCGTGAAATAATTCCAAAGTATTTTATCTGACTGTAATACACTCTGCCTTCCTTCTTTGCTCTTTTCCTTAGATCCAGTGCCATCTCCGTTGTGAAGATTCTGAGGGTCTTAAGGGTCCTGAGGCCGCTCAGGGCGATCAACAGAGCAAAAGGACTCAAGGTTTGGATTTCTGCCCTCCGGCCCAGGCTGCTTTGGTTGGGGCCAGAGCTGGGCTGAGGCTTGATGGGTTTTACACAGCTGTACATTTGGAAAGGACGTTTCTTTTTCTTTTCTTTTTTTTTTTCTGAACATTTTATTATTTTTTTTTTTAATGTTTTTATTTTTGGGAGAGAGAGCATGCATGTGCACGCATACGGGGTGGGGGGGCAGAGAGAGAGAAGGGGACAGAGGATCTGATGCTGACCACAGACGGCCCGATGTGGAGCTGGAACACAAGAACACAAGCTGGAGTTGGAGCTGGAACACAAGCTCATGACCTGAGCCAAAGGTGGTCGCTTAACCGACTGAGCTACCCAGGTGCCCCTGGAAAGGCCATTTCTAACCAGTGACACTACCTCTGACAAGTGCTGAAAGCATTTTACAAATATTTTCTTTCTCTTTGCTAATTTATTTTTCTTTATGAGATTACTGTTCTATTACTTTTTAAAAATTATTAGTATTTTCTTGGGTTGGGGTGCCTGGCTGGCTCAATCAGAGGAGCACGCAATGCTTGATCTCAGGGTCGTACGCTTGAGTGCCATGTTGGGGTACAGATTGCTAAAAGAAATAAACCGAAAAAATTAAATTAAACAAATAATATGTTCTTGGGTTTATTTTGGTCTTTAAATCTATTCTCATGCAGGTCGTATAAAAGGCCAGAGGTTTTGCATTTTCCTGAGTCCTTTTATGGGGGGCAGGGGTCCCTGTGGACCTGTGTGCCAGGCAGTGCCGCACCTGGTAGTGTTTCTTCTGACTAAACCACTTTGGAGGAAACCAGGGAGGGGCTGGTCTGTAGGGTGCTCCTCCCAGGTGGCCCCACTGCAACGGGGGTAACTCCCCACAGATAACTACCTGAAAAACAAGTGCAAGGGAGGCACAAAGTTGGAAAATCATATAAAAATGCACATAAACATAGAAAATCCTGGCCAGTATTAGCTCGCCCTGTGGCTGAAACAACAAAAGCAGATGACGTCCCTCTGCCTTCCCCGGGTTCCTCTCTCCCCAGCACGTGGTCCAGTGCGTCTTCGTGGCCATCCGGACCATCGGCAACATCATGATCGTCACCACCCTTCTCCAGTTCATGTTCGCCTGCATCGGGGTCCAGTTGTTCAAGGTACACAGATGTGCCTTCTGGCCTGAAGCCCAGCTGATCTCTTTGTGGGGAGCCTGCATTTGACTGCCTGTCTCTTCTGTACACAGGGGAAGTTCTATCGCTGCACGGACGAAGCCAAAAGTAACCCCGAAGAGTGCAGGTGAGTGTCCTGAACATGAGAGTGGGGAACAAGGAAGCACAAATAAGACACCTGGAGGGTCTGCTTGTGCTCACTTTTCAGAAGTTTTCATCATGGATTGTTAGAGGCTTGTATGCTCAGCTCACGGCTGGAGAGAGGGTGGGTGGGGGGTGGTGGTGGTAGTTTTGAGGTGACATTCACATATCATAAAAGTAATCATTTTAAACTGTGCAATTCAGTGACATTTAGTAGTCACACTGTGGGACAAGCATGGCCTACTCGTTCTAGTTCCAAACCTTTATCACCCCCAAAAGAATGGATAGATGGCTTTTGATGTTTGGTATAGAATCTCTAAAATTGGGAGGAGGGAATGCACTGAAACCTAAAATAACAATTCCAAAATTCCCCAGAGAGCCCCCCCCCCACCTTCCAGCCACATGGATAAATCCCCCCCACCCCCAAACTGGAACTCGAAGCTCAACTCCCTGGCATTCAGAAGCTGGCTAGCCTCTACCGACACGTTTTCTAGGCTGCCTTTCTCCCCTTGCTCTTGGCACCCACATTGGGGGCATATTTTTATTCACAAGAACAGGCAGAGGAGAGACAAAGTGAGAAATACTCATGCCTCTTATCCCAACATGTCCGGAAGAATATGAAGGCAGACACGAAACCATTGCCTCAGGTTGTAAGACCGCGTAAAGTTCTGTGTGTCCCCATCCCTTTGGGACGGCACCGACTGAGGACTTGCTTGTACTGCTTACATTCCATTTGGGGTTTCTTTTCAGCAGAAGGTGCGGTCAGAGTATATCAGCCTCAGTGTGACTGATTGTGCACCTCCGGGGGCATCATCCATGCAGGCTGCAGGGGTGGGGGGGGCACCCCGGGGGGGGGGCGCCCCCTGGAGTTTATGCGGCAAGCAGCAGGGTGAAGACCCCTTCTCTTCTCTCACTAAGCCTCTGCTTCCCCATCTGTGGAATAAAGACATTGGCCCCTTTCCAGAAATGAAATTCGATGACAAATATTGTGTATCAGAAATTATAGAATTATTTTAGAAAGAAAACTGGGAATATCGTTAATACAAAGAGAAAGAGTGTGATTACAGCCAAAAGGCCGAGAGGAGGGTGTACCCAGGCTTGCTTCCCAGAGCTTGCAGAATTCTCCAGGCCAAAGCCTCTGAGTCTTCAGTGTATGCGTTGAGCCCATCGTATATGAGAGGCGTTTACTGTTTGGTAGTTATCATTTGTTATCAGGCATATGCTGGATATCTGCCTAGTTGCTCTAGAGAATACTCATTAAACTAGTAGGTCCTCAGTGATTATTGGAACTGTAGACTAGAGTAAACACAGGACAAGAAGAGGAAAAACTCAGGCTGTGCTCGGCTCAGAGGTGAGGCCTGGCTGGCAGACAGCACAATGGTGCCTGGACGTGGCCTTGGAGCAGCTGTGACTGATCTCAGGTCAAGCCAGGATGACCCACACTTCTTTTCCTCCTTAGGGGGCTTTTCATCCTCTACAAGGATGGGGACGTTGATAACCCTGTGGTCCGTGAGAGGATCTGGCAAAATAGTGATTTCAACTTTGACAACGTCCTTTCTGCTATGATGGCGCTGTTCACGGTCTCCACGTTTGAGGGCTGGCCTGCGTAAGTATAGAGAACACCTTGATAATGTCCCAAGCCATCCATTCAGTCGTTCAGTCATTCGTTCCCAGCTCTAATGTGCGCCAGACACGGGTGGCTGCCAAAGTGCCATGTCTTTCACTGACCCGCTCACTCGCTCATTCATAAAATGTGCTTTTGGTACCAGCTCCGTGCAGCGTGCTGTGTTAAGCCCTGTGGGAGAAACAGTGGTCTCAACATGTTCCTCTCTTCAAGGCCCAAAGCTAGTCAGAGTATCAGGCAGTCAAACCAGGCAGGAGCTTCTGCCGTGTCAGAGATGTGCAGAATAAGGTTCTGAAGGATGGCTAGGATTTTGATGAGTAAAGTTAAAAAAAAAAAAAAAAGTCCAGAAGCAGGGAAGAAGGTAGAATACAAAAGGGAAGTCTCTTACACCTTTGTTCCCTGTGCTCTGATACCCACCCCAGCCCCAGCTCCTGCCACCTAGATGTATGTACATACGCAGAGTCCCGAATGTCAAGTTCTCACGCCCAGAGAAACTGCAGAAGGTGGACAAATTCACTCTGTCAGGCTGGCAGAACTCTCTGGATGCATGGGAGAGTCAGAAGTTTTATGGGAGAGCCTGTGGAGGAAGAGGGCAGTTGGGTGGGGTTTGTTCATTAGGGAACTGGTCCTGGGGAGAAAAGAGGCAGGAGTGAGTCCCTTTACTCTGTGGAGGCACTGGCTGCACTCTTGGGTTTTCAGCAGTGTGTTTTAGCAAATCAGGATGGCAGGTGAGGGAAAGTGAGCAGATTTGGGACCTGGGGCTCAGAGGAGCTGGGCTCATCTCCTGGCTTTGCCCCCAAGGAGTATGACTTCGGTCACCTAGATCACTCTGTGAGCTTCCGTACGATGGGGATGACTGTAATGTCTGCCTTTGCAGATGGCTGTGAAAGTGTGTAGCACAGCCCAGCGTGGGGTGGGCACCCTGGCAGTGCTGAATCTGCATCAGAGTGGGGGTAATTTTAACTTGGGGATCTTACGGTAATTTCCTTTCTTCCTACTGAGAGTTCTGCTTAGCATATATTTAATTTCTGTGTATATTTCAGTTTGGGGAACTTCTCAGTTCTTTGGAAATCCCGGGTTGCTCGCTTGTTGTCCTTGTTGGCGTGTGTACAGTTTTCAGTTCTGCCAGTGTCTTCCACGTGGTGTCCTTCCTCTCTCCCATCTGTCAGTAAAAAGGAGCATTGTTGAATATCCATGAAATCTTTTCTCATGTCCTCAAAACATCAGTCAACAAATGGATCTCAGGTGTGCCCTCCTCTGGGCGCTGGGCTGGCTGGGCCTAATGCCAAGGAGGGTGCCTCGGGGACCTGTGTGTCCAGGGGCTATGGGTGGGCTCCGAGGGAGGGGGCTGACAGGCAGGGGGCGGGCCCACAGAGGCCGTCAGAAGAGGTGCACGTCTGGGCAGGCGGAGGGGCTCACCCAGTCCTTCTGTTCTCCAGGTTGCTGTATAAAGCCATCGACTCCAATGGAGAGAATGTTGGCCCCATCTACAACTACCGCGTGGAGATCTCCATCTTCTTCATCATCTACATCATCATTGTGGCTTTCTTCATGATGAACATCTTTGTGGGCTTCGTCATCGTCACATTTCAGGAGCAGGGAGAGAAAGAGTATAAGAACTGTGAGCTGGACAAAAATCAGGTTAAAGTCACACACTGTTTGGGCTTCTGTCCCTTGAGCAAGAGAGGAGTGGCTTGTGTGTTGCCAGCTTCTTCCGTGCACACAGAAGGCATGCATCCGCTGGTTGTCCCGGGGACTCGGGCCCTGTTCACAGCACCCTCACAGCCAATTTGAGTCCTTGCTGGGGAGAGCGTGCTTCTCAGATACAGATCAGACCTTGTAATTGTGAAATCAACCCCACCCTATGGAGAAGTCAAAGAATGCTTAGGCCACCTTCTGCAGGCATGACCCACGAGTGATGGCCCACAATCTTGGTGGGGGATGTGGCCAGGGGCCGGAAAGCACCCACTGCTCCTCCCACAGTCCTTATGGGGGGGGTGGGGCATGGATTGTGTCTTATCTCCTCAACCTCGGCACTATTGATATTTTGGGCTAGATAATTTTCAGTTGAGCATTGTGTGCTTTGTAGGATGTTTAACAGAATCCCTGGACTATACCCACTCGATTCCAGTAGCAACCCGCTGCCCTGAGTTTTGACAACCAGAAGACCTCTCCAGACATTGCCAGATGTCCCCTGGTTGAGAACCAGGGTTGAGAACCAGAGTCAACCAGGTTGACTTAGGAGGAAGTAACCTATCACACTGCAGGAAAAGTCACTAACTTTAAACCTGGGTCTAATATTGCGCTGGTGTCATTCTCCCGTTATCCACTGCCTTGTTTGAACAAATCTGATAGCAGCAGGGGACTTTGGCTCTGATTGAGTGATGATGTGAGAGAGCCAGGAGACCTGCTCCTCTCTGGGCTTGTTGTAGATTGAGGGCACCCAGGAGTTGCTTTTAGAGGTCCCTTCCAAGGGGCGCCTGGGTGGCGCAGTCGGTTAAGCGTCCGACTTCAGCCAGGTCACGATCTCGCGGTCCGTGAGTTCGAGCCCCGCGTCAGGCTCTGGGCTGATGGCTCAGAGCCTGGAGCCTGTTTCCGATTCTGTGTCTCCCTCTCTCTCTGCCCCTCCCCCGTTCATGCTCTGTCTCTCTCTATCCCAAAAATAAATAAACGTTGAAAAAAAAAATTTAAAAAAAATTAGAGGTCCCTTCCAGCGCTAGAAGATGGTGAGGTGGAGATTCTGCTCTGGGAGTTTCCCCTGGGCCCTGGTTTGCTAGCACCCCCATTTGATGATGACATAGGAGCAGGGATCATCTGCCAGCCTGGCTTCCTGAGGGAAGTGGCTGTGGTAAGGCTGGCTGTCTCTGGCCGCAGCTGTGCCCTCTGGGGCAAAGAGGACAGGGACGGCTTGGTTTGTAGGAAGATGTTGCTTTGAGTTGTCAGGGCGTCCCTTCAGATCCCATAAGGGGTGATCAGAAGGAAGCCTGGTCCTGCTCCTCATCATCCCCCACTCCTCCCACCTCCCAGCCCCTGGAAGGAGAATGTCAGGGCGAGGCCCAGGCTGGCTGGGGTGGCAGGACCAGAGCTACAATCGTGTCAGCACTTGAGGTCCAGAAGAGGTTCGAATTGGGGGTCCCTGGAGTCAGTGTGAGGGGTCACAGCAGGGCCAGATTCTGGACAGAGGGAGCCTATCTGAAGTCAGAACCCAGGGTCTAAGCAGGAGAATGGAGTTGGTCTGGGTCTAAGAGCAAGTGGGGCCTTACACTGAGCCTACGGGGCTGGAGATCCCTCTGGGCTGCAAAGGGTGGACCAGTCTCAGCCCCAGAGTGAGAAGGACAGTGCTCTGGCCATCATTGCTGACCATGTCCTGGGGGCTCTGAGATGAACATGACAAGCTCCCGAGTGTCAGAAGGTCCCAGGCAGACACACACCATTAGACACGTGTGGTTAATACAGTCTGGCTCCCAAGAAGTGTCTCATGTGGATCCTGTCTTGGGGAGTGAGTCCAGCCTCTCTGGCTCCGCAGGATTTCTGTGCCTCTTGTTACCTGGCTTCCTTTCCTAGAGGTGCCAGAACCGCAGACATAATGCACCAGCAGAGAGGAAAGGTAGGGATGAGGCCTGGGTTAGGCCCTGCTCCTCTGCTTGTGCACCACAGAATCTCCAGCAAGGCATTTCACAGCTCTGGACTTCCATCATAATAAGGAAAATGGAAGCAGACTCGGTCCTCTGCTAACCCACCCCCCAGGTTGCTGTGAGGGGTTGATAAGGTGACGGAGCTAGAGGCCCTTGGCCAGTGACCAAGGCATCCGTGGGAGTGGCTATCGTGGTTTCCCCCTGGTCCACAGTCCCCCGCGGTGGGTGCCTGTCCATCCTTTCAAAGCGGGCAGAAGTATGTCCGCCTCCCATGGGTGTGCTCAGGACCCCTCCTTGCTCTTTTTTTTGCCGTTGCAGCGTCAGTGTGTCGAATACGCCTTGAAAGCACGTCCCTTGCGGAGATACATCCCCAAAAACCCCTACCAGTACAAGTTCTGGTACGTGGTGAACTCCTCGCCTTTCGAATACATGATGTTTGTCCTCATCATGCTCAACACACTCTGCTTGGCCATGCAGGTAAAAATGGAGACAGCCGTGGGGGTCATGTCTGGGCCTTCTGCACAGCCCCCTGCCCCAAATTCTCAGGGGGGAATGCCACCCCGTCACAAGAGAATGGGTTTGATTTTCTGATGAATCTAGGCTGTAGTTTGGCCAGAGTCCCATTCTGGCTAACAGCTGTCATGACAGGCATCTAGGATGGCCCTCTTGTTTAAGAGACCACCTCTACAGCATGACCATAGGTAACATTTCCCTGGAGCCTGGACCTGGCATTCAATTCTGTAAACATTTACTATGGGCCTCCTGCGTCCAGGGAGCATCTGAGGACTAAAGCTTGGTCTGTGTGGAGTTGGACAGACAGGCATTCCAGTCCTGCCTTACTCCTTACCAGATGGGCAATCTTGGCAAGGTTATTTAAATCCTCCGAGCCTTGCTTTCTTCATTGGCAAAATAGGAAATCTATCATATCTATGCCAGAGGTAAGGTTTGCACTGGAAAATTCACATCAGGCACTGGCACTGGGCCCGTCACAAAGTAAACACCCAGTGTTGAAAAACAAAACATAAGTCACATTGCTGTCCTCAAGGAGCTCTCAGTATGAGAGTGGGGAATCTTCCAGTTCATGGGGAAGAGCTTGACCTGCATTATAGCCACTTCTTGCTATACTGGGGGCAAGGCATGTAACTCCCTTCAGTTGGCCAAGTTGGTATTAACAGTGAGCAGGTCTGGCATTTATACTGTTGAGTAGATAATGCCCTAGCACAGAAGCCAAGGTCTAGATCCAGTTTCCACACAACTTGAGCAAATCAAACCAACTCCCAGTGCTGTTTAGAAAATGGGTCTAAAAGCCACCAGAGGGACATTTTCTGGCATGTTTTTGTAAATTTAAGAAGTCTTTATGAACGAGAAGGACCACATGCCAATGTAGGGAAGAAGTGTGAGGTCAAGATAATATGGCCTTTTATTGAACGTGGACCTAATAATGGCATCAAAATGATCTCCAACCAAATCCTACCTTTAGTCGTAGACATTTGGGTGGGTTCTGCCTTGTGCCTGGGTCAAGGCCCTGAACATAAACCCAGCCAGGAGGAAGGGTGGGTTCCCTTCATCCTGAGCAGAGGAAATGGATGTATTTCCCCTTCATCTTCCAATCATCCTCATTCTGTCAAGGCGCCCCTGTGCTTTGCGGTGAGTTAATCGCGTGCGCTAGAACCAGTGAAGGTTGCCTCCATGTCCAAGCAGAGGGTGGATGCCTACAGGGACCAGGGGGCTGGGGAGCCTCCTTTCGTGAGGCTGGCTGGGCTGGGTCTTCTGAGAACCGTGCCTCTGTCATCGTCCACAGCACCACGAGCAGTCCAAGATATTTAATGATGCCATGGACATTCTGAACATGGTCTTCACTGGGGTGTTCACCGTCGAGATGGTTTTGAAAGTCATTGCATTTAAACCTAAGGTGAGTAGCTGGACCCACCTTTCGAAGACTGTTGTTGAATCACCCCAGAGAAGCACACGCTTCCTGTTCATTGTGTGTTACTGAGTTACGCTGAATTGCTCTGGCCGATAACTGGGTTATCACCTGAGAACGTTAGAATCTGATTAGGGCATCTGGGTACATATTGGAAAACAAAACTACAAAACAAAACCTCATAAAAAACAATTCTGAGAAAAAGAAGAGAGGGGTACCGAATTAGGAATTTGCAGAATGGAAATTGTTTGAAACTAGGTTTTCAGTCTGTAGAATAACACGTCATGCTTTCTCAGGGAAACTTGCCTCATCGCTTGAGCACTGGAGACACTGTTTTAAACAGAACCCGTTAGAAAGAATTCAGCCTTGATTTTACTCTTAGGTTTCCAGGAGAAAGACTTTGGTTTTATTTGTTCTTGGTCTACAGCTTCTTTTTCACCTTTTATGGAAAGGTCTACCAGTTGGAGATCTCCTCCTGCCGTGCCACCTTTCGTTTATTTGACTTAGAAAAATTTCACTTGACTTTAAGACCAAACAAGCCATGAAGTTTGTTAAACTCTGTTGGGCTAGTCAGCATATCCTCTCGCCTTCAGGGAGGGCACGAATCCAGTCCCCTAGTTGTCAGTGTCTGTGGTTGAAGAGACTGATGGAACAGTGTCAAAGTGCACACACGACTTTGGGTCCAAACCCATTCTCCCCGTTTGCTAACGCGAGTGAGTTCCTTCACTGCTCTGCACTTCAGTTTCCTCGCCTGAAAAATGAGGGCACTGCTGGTTCTGTGTCACAAGGCAGCTGTGAGGGATAAAGAATCACTATCTGTGCCATGCTTAGAGAAGTACCTGGCATGTGGTAACATGCTGTGGACGTGCCGGTACTGTTACTCTGACCACCACCACCATCATCGTCAAGTAACGATGCCCCCTTGTTCTAAAACCGTAGACAGAGGAGCAGACCCCAGCGGGGCCGGGGGGACATTTGACCCTCAGCTTCTTTGCTAGAAAAGCCCCAAACCATTAGAATGAAATGGTGACAGAATTCAGTGACCCGGTTATTTGTTCATCTGTGTGTAAGGTATCCGATGACACTGATTTTACTGAGACTTCGATTACAAAGTGATGGTTTTCACATACTCCATATTTACATGGAATTCTAATCCAAAACTGTTCCTTTCTTTAATTTGAATTAATTTCTATGCAATCTTTATCAGATCTTTGTGGACCAAAAAGAAAGGACACTTGTAAGTGATCACTTGGGGTGATTGCAGTGGGGTCAAATTTGGCACTTTATGCATGGCCAGATGTTATTTACTGTGACTTGTCCATATCTACATACATAAGCATTTCCTCCTTTTCCAAATTCATCTTAATTTCCTTTGAGATTTTTGGTTTGCTTCCCTGTCACCTTTACTTCTTTGAACAATATTTGTCTGGACTGTTGAAAAAGGTTGCCAAATAAGAACATCAAAAGGACTTGAGAAGATGCAACACGGAACATATCTCTGGAACATTCTAGATGCCCTTACCGTGTCTTCCCCTGCCTGGTGATTAAGCTCTGAAGTTTTTGAGAGCTTATTCTGGGCTGAAGAGAAGGCACACTCACCCATGGCATGTATGTGTGAGAGAGCGCACGCGTGCGTGCGTGTGTGTGTGTGCGTGCGTGCGTGCATGCGAACATGCGCCTGCTAGCCGGCCGGCACACCAAGGGGCTCGTACACCCCTGTGCCCAGTAACCTGCTGAGACCAGACCTGGGAGGAGGGTTTGGTGGCATGTGATAAGAGTGGTTGATATCAAGAGGGAAATGAGTAGCTAATTTTTAATCAGTGCTGATTAATCAGGGTTTTAAAATGAGTGATTTCCGCTAGAAATTGTGCTGCTTTGTTGTTTTGCCCAGCAAGATATTTCCATAGCATAAAATAGCAATAGGAGCGTCTCTTTGCCTGCAGAGCACGGCGTCTGCATTCACTGAAGCCAGGAGAGACAGATTTTATGTTGAGGAGCAGGAAAGAATCAATTCACCAGGAAACAAAGCTCTTCTTAAAATGCTCCCAGACTTTTCCTTGTTTTTCTCTTCTGGGTTGACCAAGCAAACCCAGGTGAGGAGGCTTTCACCAAGAAGTCAGTGAGGCCCCTCCTCCCTCTCGGAGGAGCAGTAGGGCTGAGGAACCCAGTTGTAGAGGCTGCTGAGGAAGAATCTTCCAGGAGATGGACACGTGGGACAAAGGGTTGGGAACCCTAGCCCCTGGGTCTCGTCTCAGGAAAGCCCTTGTCTCTGTTTGTAATTTGTTGCAGGGCCCCTTGGGGCAGCATTCTCCATAGTGAGGGGAACACCTTCTAGGAAAGCTTGTCAGCATCTGTCAGGAGAGATGGGGTTGCAGCCCTTCTGGGATACAAATCCAGAGAGTGAAGTTGGACAAAATCCTCCCTGATGGATGGACGAGGAAGCACTGTCAGGAGGATCGGTTAAAAGGAGCTGTGAAACCTAACCATGGGGACTTCTGTATTCAAGAGGCTAATGGAGAGGTGGGGCCTCCCAGGAGCACACATTTAGGGAGAAGTCCGGGATCCGCACATCAGCTCACCCCACCTCCACAAGCAGGGAGGGCCGAGGTAGGGAACCCAGAGCTGGGAGCTGCCCTGGCCGGCGAGGCAGGCTCACTGCGTGGGAAGAGGTATTCTGAGTGTTGGTTAGGCCAGAGTGGAGGGTGGTAAGGAGCCGAAGAGCCCAAGAATTAGGGAAAAGCAAGCAAGCTGTTGAGTGTATTGTCTGCTCCCCAAGGGAAAACCCACCATCGGTGTTGATCTTACACGCTCTAGACTGCACTTTTGACTTGGAGGTGACTGTGCCATCCTCAGGTTGTAAAGGGAAGAGAGGTCATGACTTAAGTAAGAGATAAGCCACTTCCCTGGCCTTTCCCTCCAGTACTCTGAGGGGAAGCCACTGGAATTCTCTGATGAATTCTCTTGCTCCAGGGAGGGAGATTGAAAAGAAGGGCCTTTTCCAAAGTACTGGTCCCTGCAGGAAGTAAGGAGCACTTCCGTTTTCCTGAGGCCCCTCTTTGTGCTTCCTCATGTCACCTGTCTTTGTTTAGCATGTGCCCGAGGCCAGGTTAGCTGCCTTGGCTGTGGGCTTTTCTCCAAACAGCCACACTTTGTTCCCAGGTCTGCATTTTGATCTTGGCTCTACCTCGAAAATGTCTAATTTATACTCCTGGCCACTTGGGCTTGGGAAAGGTAAAGGGTAGTTGGGTTTGGGGGAAGAATAGAGTGTTTTGGTGCCATTCTCATACGTCCATGCAGAGCTGCAACACCATGGAGGCTGGTATCTTCTGCCACTAGCCCCCCGGGATGGCATTCCCTGACCCAGGGTCCCTGACAGGAATAAGGGCTCCTATCAAAGCCTTAGCAATCTTTTTCAAGGACGTCCTCCACCTCCTGGAAAGAAAATTTGATACTGTTGTTACAGCTCTTCAGTGACCACATCTACTCTAGGTGATTTATTCTAATGCCAAATAACACTTGAGACCAAATATCCCCTCTCCCTAGCCAGGACTTTGGGCCAGACTTCATGGGCTCAGACTGTGCCTGTTGCCTGGGTCAGGGGTGTGTACCATCCGCCCAGGAGTCCTCTAGGACGTGGGCACAATTTTGTGAGTGTAAGGGATCTTCTGAAGAGGGTTGACAAGATTGCCAAAACGTTCCAGGACCCCCAATGTTAAGCCCCTATTGCATTGGTTCAAGGTGATTTTCAGAATGGGGCACTTGGTGAATAGTGTGTAGGCCAATGGGAATGATCCAAAGGTAAGTACTGATAATTCTAGAAAAGCAAGGGAGGAGCTGTTTAGGAATAAAGTCCAAAGTAGGTACGCAGGTGGTGGCCTTGGCCTCAGGCAAACAGCCTGCTGTAACCGGGGTCGAGGGGGAGCAGTGTGCAGGGTGCAGAAGTGAGCAGGGGCTGGTTGTGTGCCCAGACAGGAGAGGAGGAGGAACTCGGGATTTTCAGCTGCTCTCTGAACCCTGGAGGCCTGAGTGTTACGGTGCCCTGCTGTCTCAGTGAGGCATCAGCCCCTCTCTAGAGGAGGTGGGAATGACCAGCATCCTCTCCTTAACTTTGGAGTTGCTGTTAAATCCAGGAAGGGAAGGACGGGCTCTGGCCCTCAGAGTAGAATCTGTGGCAAGGCTGCCAGTCAGATGCCTGTTGCCCGTGAATAAGGGAACCCGACACTTGGACGATCAGGGCACCCGCACAGCAGCAACTCAGCACCCCGACCCAGCTGCCTTGTGTGTTAGGAGGCCTCCCCACTGAAGGAAGCCGTGTGCTCATTTGGGTCCAGGTGTGAGCGCTGTCTCCTGGCCAGCCAGCAGGACTGGCGTGCTCAGCGGGCCTAGTCTGGTCCTCACAGGGGCTGGCCTTGGCCCCATCTGGCAGCCAAGAATCATGGATCATTGGGAAGAAAAGCCAGAAGGCGCTAAATGTGGCGTTCGTGAAGACTTGTCCCATTTAGACCTGTGCACACAGGTCGTCAGAATTGGTGCAGGCAGAATCCCTTTGTTTACCTGTCAGAGGCCAGAGAAGGGGGTCTGGGAGATGGCAGCCAACGAGGTAACATGTGACAGAGGACGGGAGGAGAGAGGGGAGCAGTGGGTGAGAAGTCATGGCAGTTGGGTGGGAAAATCTTACATTATTCAAGATGAAACTTTTAAAAGCCCAAACCATCAGTCAGTATCATAGCTTCCCCGTAAATGCACTTAGAGTGATCAACGGTAACCAGAATAAGCATCCCTACTCCAGTTATCAGGATGGCCAACATGTCCACATTTTCTATCGTGTCACCAAAGGCTGGGCTCTGCAGTGGCTTCCTTGGGGCCTGTATTGATCATGAGTTCATGGAACCTGACACTTCAAAGTACCTTCTGTTCTGGTTTTCTTCATCTGCACTAAGTGTACCCAGTTGTAAGCATGCTTGACCGCTTTTTATGTAATTCAGACCTGAAATTTTTTATTTCCAAAACATGTTCTGATTTCTTGAAAAGACATCGTTGATTTGCAGACAGAATGTCAGGAGGCAGCAGGCATAAAATGTGTGAGCCCACAAGAGGGAATATGTAAAATGTATGCCGTAGATAGGGAGATAGATAGATGGATTGATAAGTCACAGTCCTAGGGACATTGTGCCATCATGATCACTGTAGGATATGGAGATCCGAAGGATGATAGGATGCTAGGTCAGTGGAAGAAAGACCCTGCAGTATGTTGAGCAGCAGGCTCAAAGTTCCAAGGTAGATAGTGGGGTCAATAGAGGAGGGGATGGAAGAGTCAGCACAGAGGGTTTTCAGTGGGGTAAACCTGAAAAGACCCAAAATTCAGTGATGAGGACGTGAGAGAGAGAGGCAGAAGTGGACGTCAGGAGGATCTGAAAAGGTCCCCTCGAGGGGCTGGCATTTGGTCCGACCTTGAAGGAGGAAGTGGGTTTGGGTAGACAGAGTTAGGGCTGGGATTGTAGAGCCATCAGGAGCAGGGGAAGAACCTGTTGGTGGTTCTGAGGGCTGGCAAGGAGTCCTCCTGGCCTGGAGGGTGGAGAGGGAAAGGAGGAGAGCTGGGGACCAAGATGGATTCTCTCAAATTCAATGGGACACTTAGCACATCATAACCCTTGATGGTCCCTTTCCTTTGTGAGACCTCCAGTGGGCTCCCTAGACGGTCTCCTGCCCCCCAGCCCAGAGTGAGTTCCCCTGGCACAGCTCTGTGCCCTGGACTATGTGCATTGCTGTGCCTCTGTCCTCGTGTGCCCAAGAGCCCTCGGAGGACAGAGCACACCTTCTGTAACTCTTGCATGCATGAGGAACAGAAACGGTTGCTGCTTGAAGGGCACAGAATGGAGAACGTGTGAAATGCCTGGTCACAGTGCTCTTTCACTGGGAAAGAGAAGGACGTGGTGTGGCTGGGGACCCCATGGAAGGAGCAGGGAGAGGGCCTGCTGACTCCCCTGTGTAAGGGCTGAAGTCCTAGAAAGTGTGAAGTCATGATCCCAGGCACAAGGGCAGGATTTCCTGGTGCTGCCCCTCTGCCCCTGCCCTGCAGATGCTCTGCTTGGCCTGGTGCTGCTCAGGGCCATGGGTCTGCGCCGTGACTGTGTGCACGTGTTTGAGTGTGTGTGTGTGCCCTCTCTCACACATGCAGGTGCCCCCTATCCTGTGTCCCTTTCTACCAGTGGATGGTATTGTTGCCTCCCTCTGGCTCTCCCACCCTACCTGGTTGCCATGGGTGCTGCGGGGCCTCGGATATATCCCCGTATGATCCGTGTGGCGTTTCGTTCCTACGTGCTCATAAACGTCTGCCCCCTGCCTGCTCTGTCCAGGGGTATTTTAGTGACGCCTGGAACACGTTTGACTCCCTCATCGTAATCGGCAGCATTATAGACGTGGCCCTCAGCGAAGCCGACGTGAGTATGCGCCCGCTGTGGCCGCCCGCCTCGTGTTCTCTCTCTGTCTGTGCACATTCCGCTCCCTGTCCCGCACTGGCATCACCTGGACAAGTCACAGGTCCCAACTTCACTTGATCTAAAACCAGGCATTTCTAATGAGAGCCGTGGACAAGAGGCTTGTGAGGGTAGAGCTTTATCCCAGGCCTTTCCAGACACAGATCACCTTTTGGAGGGCTGACTCCTGCAGCATTTCCCAAGTCACTGGTAGGCAGGGCGAGATGGGCGTCTCTAATTGTTTTTATTCGCTGTGTCAGCAGCAACACCCAAAGTGATGTACCTGTAACGTGTGTTTGTTTTAGGGTGATTTTTCAAGTAGCCGGGTGGCATAATGCTAGAATGTTCCCCTTTTATAACACTGTCCTTTTCTTCTTTTTTCCTGTTGTGCTTCCTCTCTGTGGCTTCTGAATGCTTGCCCTAACAGCACTATTTCACTGATGCATGGAACACTTTTGATGCCTTAATTGTTGTTGGTAGCGTCGTTGATATTGCTATAACTGAAGTGAATGTAAGTAGCAAATTTTGTGTCCTGTAACGTGATTGTTTTTGTTAAGTCTAACACTCGGGTGCCTAGAAACACTATCCATGGGCCTTCCTGCACTTTAGAAATTCAGACGTATGCTTGTTTTAAAAGACGAACATTTTGTAGTCGCCCCCTTCCCTCACCCCACCCCTCTCCCCCAAAAGAGAGTGGAGAAGTAAATGTAGAATTGCCATTTTGGAACTAAAGCATTATTTTTTTTTAAAAAAAGTTCTTGTTAAGTTCTTAAGGGCTTGGAGTTAATGTATGTGAGTATGTGGACATTATCACTCACTAGCTGTGTGACCTTGGCTGGTCACCTGACTGCTTTGAGCCTCAGTTTTTCTAGCTGCAAAACGGAGTTCATAACGTGTGCCCTTGTACCCACAGCAGTTCTGTGAAGGCACAGGAGGGAAACTTCACAGCCACACCATGAACCCGTGGCAGCTGCTGCTGTGTCCTCACCTGTACCTTGTGTACCTGCTGAGTCTGGCTGGTGGCACTGGGGAATACCCGCTGTCCTAGCTCCCCAAACGATGATGTAGGTCGAAGGCTGCCCTGGACCAAGGGAAGGGGGGCCTCGTGTGTATTGGGAGAGGGTGTCCATTCTCCATTGTTGCACTTGATCAAACCCTTTAGTAAGGAAACAAGTGCAGTAGCAGTGTGGTAGGTGGAGTGACCCCCACCCTTCAGGAAGCATCCTAAGAACCCTCCTTCACGGGGAGCACTGCCTCCTGCCAGCTCCTCTTGCATCTAGCCCGTGCCTAAACCAGAAAGATGTGAAGCAGAAACGGCCCTGCTCGCCTGGTCTGTCCCCAGTTCGTCAGCGAGTCTGAGTGGGTGTCTGACATGTGTACCCCTGTTGTGTAGAGCCCGTTGTGGGGATGAGTGGAGCATGGGGTAGGACTGCTGTGTGGTGTTGGCTTTCTGCTCCGTGTGGCCAGCCCAGCCCTCCTCCCCAACCCCTGGCCGGGAAGAGGCCTCCTTGCTCTGCCTGGCTGACATTTGCAGGGTTGTACAGCCCATCCTGGTGTCCAGACAGCCTGTATCAAACAGGGACGGTGCAGTCCTTTTTAATGCCACTGCTTCGGGGCCAAGCTAATCCTGGAGCACAGAACAGTGGGACAGCTGCTGGCCTGGCACTCCTCAGGCCTGACAGTCAGTCCTGGTCCTGGTTCAAAACTGACTTGTTGGACCCGGGGCCTCAGTTCCCCCCATGGATCGACTGGGGTGAGTGCTATGTGCCCTTCCAACTTCATAGGTATGTTGGGGTGAAATTTTGTGAAAATATCTGCTATAAAACCTAACATATTAGGGAGATACAAAGCTATTATTCCAAGTGTAGATTTTCCGTGGACAGATAGGTAAAATGGACTATAAGACAGGTCCACGAGGGTGTGATTTAAGCCTCATGACACCCAAATCCATGCCACGACAAGGCAGCAAAGTGGTATTTTACTAGACTTAGGAAGATACACCCTCCCTAACCTCCATAAGCCCAGACTTATGTAAATTCCACTTTATGTGAAATATTCCATAACTCAGCTATAAAGTTGTCATTCATAACGTGTAAGTTATGCTCGGTTATAAAATAATCTAATGCTAATGGCAGAACAGCAGGACCCTAACTGGGCTGCCAGGGGCTCTCTCCTGAATTTATGACCAGACATATGCCTGCTTAACTGTCTCCTGATGTAAACCGCTTAGAGCCTTCATCAAAGTATGCTTACGTGGAAGTTCTGGAACAGACCCTTACGTAAGTCAGAGATGGCCTATAATGGGGATGAAAATTGAATAAGCTACAGTTTCAGCAGGTCTCCCTGGAGTGCTCTGTGCTCAAAGTGATGTGCAGGCAGTGGGCATAACTACTTAGTTTCTGGGTACCAGGATGTGGCCAAGGTTTGTTGGCCGAGCCAACAAGCCAGCTCTCCAGTGCCTCAACCACCCGCTGGCTGGCAGGGTGTGGCGCTGGTGGCCTCGGTCGACAGCACGTGCCCAGCTTCCTGGCTGCCCTTCCGTATGCTGGGGGCAGGCGTGCACCACGCCCATCCCCTCTAGCCCAGCCTTGCTCATCGGTGTCTCACACGTGTCCTCCCTCGTGTTGTATCGGACAGTCAGGAAAGCTGCAGGGGTACAAGAACCCACACTGGATTTCCTAGTTAGCACTTGACTTTGAGGTGTCTGCACAAAGCAACCTTTCACTGGGCCCATTTCTGGCACTCAGTTGGACTTTCAAAATCACACTGGTGAACAGTCTCCTACTGTTTTCTAGTCGGTGACTTTCCCTGCGGTCAGATCTAGCCTGAGACAAAACCTCCCTCAGCTGGTGGCCAAGCCGGTTGTCCACTCTGGTAGAAGTAGAACCCCTAGGGGAGATTGGCAGCTCTGTGCTGGGCTGCATTGCACAGCGATTGCTCAAGGCCACCTTCTCATTCACTCAGTCTCTCCCCGCACATGTCCTGGGCACGTAGAATTCGCGGGTCATGGGCACAAAGATAGAAGAGACCAGATGTCCTCAACCCCTGATGGTATAACTGGGTGGAGCTGGGAATTCCTACATCGCCCTCTCCTGCGCATGCCTAGTTCCCTGGTAGAGCAACTCACATCATACCCCTTGCTGGCCTCACCCCACAAGACCCTGGGCCAGATCAGCTTGAACGCCCTTGGTCCATGTTGGCTGATTTTAGCTGCAATAAGTCATCATTTTTTGCGATATTTAACCTGCTGTGCTCTCTCCCCCAATCTCTGTCGATCTTCCTTTTCTGTTACCTAATTGATTTTCATGTTGGTTTTATTTTTAGAAAATTGTAGCGGCAAGTATATATAAACATATATACGGTGATGTCGTTAAAGCAAAAGCACTCTAAAGACTGTATACTTGTTTTTGGCTTCCCCCACCTGTGGTTTTCACTGAGTTTCACAGGGTGTGCTATGTATGGCTCAGGGCCATCTAAATTGTTTCCTTTCCCCTGTGTCCAGTCTCCAGCTGGGGTCTGGGCCAGGGCCGTCTTGGTCAGTCACGCTTGGCTCTGTGACTTGCCAACGTAGTCCTCGAGAATGATTGATCTGGCCCGCAAATGAGAAACCTAGCTTGTGCTTACACTGTTTGCAGAAACATTTTGGATGGCCCTTTCTGTTGTCCTGCTTGATGCTTACCCAGCCCTCTCCTGCTGCCCCCGCCCCACATACCCTACCCTGCTCTGACAATGGTCTGATGGCTCTCGAAGACTTGTCTTTATCACATCTGGTCGTAACATCACCAAGCTGCTAAAATGTCAGATGGCGACTGGTAGGCTCGCTTTTGCTCCCCCTCAGATGCCTGTTGGTGCCTTGAATGGGGAAATGACAGAGCACCCCATTCTCCTTAACCCGGGCGGTGGCTGTTGCCAGCACGGAGTCTTTTCCCACTGTTGTTATTGCTGGAGAGGCAAAATATTTGTGCAGAAACCGTGACTGCCTTGTTCTCACTTACTGAAGAGCATGTGAAAAGTCAGTAGGGAGCGTACTCCCAGGGACCCAACAGTTGTCCCTGACCTGTCAGGTACCCAGTTTGGACCAGGTGACCAACAGCTGTGCTCAGCTTCTGGTCGTTCAGCTCTCCATTCCAGAAGCCAGCCCTTTTCCAGGGACCAGGTCACTGACTTCACAGACTCAGCATTCCCATATACAGAAGCTGCCTCTCCCAGCAGTGTTATGTGCCCAGTCAGAAGTAGCCAGAGGGAAGTTCCCCATCCCATCCCCTGCAAAGAGTGGGATGCCTTGAGTTAACTGGTTCTGGGATGCCGGTTTGCTTCCTGTCTGAATTGGAAAACCACGTCATCTCAGCCTTACCAGGAAAAGATGGGAATTAATACAGCAAGTGCAGACTGATCTTTGGTTGCACTTGGGAAACTCAGGGCTTGTTTGGTTCCTATAGTTGCTGGGGGCTGGCCCTGGCCCTGCATCTCAAGAGCCTTTCACTGGTCTTCCTGTGTGAAGAGGCTGGAGGGAATGTCAGGAGAGCTCCCAGGGATCTACAGAGATTTCTGGGCCCCTGCATATGGTTTGGCCACCTGGGGCTGAGGGCAGTCTCTCTGTGGGGCTCCCAGATGAAGACACTGGCACCTCATGGTTAGAAGGAGCTGCCCAGGCCCACTAGCCCAAGGCCAGGGGTGGCACCGCAGTCCCCTCTGTGAGGACCGGCCATGCAGCCCCGGCGATTGGTTTTGGAAAACTCCCCAGGGAGTGAGCTCTTTTCCGGTTTCAGCCTCTGAGAGCATCCTGTCATTGATTCTGGAATCGCATAGAGAGTCAGCTCACCCACGTTCCCACCGCACGCTTCACAGCCTGCTGTTTCCGAGCCCCCCCCCCAGGGGAAAGATGGGGATGCATTCTAACCTGTTTACATTGTTAGAGTACTGAACCCTCATCAACTCCAGTAGAACCCACTGCTCAGCTGTAATGGCCTAAGTGGGCTTTTCTAGGGGCCCCCACTCGTTGTGGCCAATCCACACCTTAAAGGAATTTGCTGGTGTGAGTGACCATCTGAAGAGTGCCCAGCTTTACCCCGGCCTAGGACTGCCATTCCCCTCTAGCAGGGCCTTAGAATCACCTGGCAGCTTTTCTTTCTTTATTTTTTTAGTGTATTTATTTATTTTTGAGACAGAGAGAGAGCATGAGCAGGGGAGGGGCAGAGGAGGAGAGGAACCTAGAAGTCCAAAGCAGACTCCAGGCCCTGAGCACAAAGCCTGGCCGTGGGGCTCAGACTCACGAGTATGTGACCTGAGCTGAAGTCGGATGCCCAACCGACTGAGCCACCCAGGCGCCCACCTGGGAGCTTTTAAAACTCCTAAAGCCCCGGCACACGCCAGCCCAATTAGAGAAGAATCTTTGGAGTGGAACCCAGGCAGTAGATTCTGTCAAAGACCCCCAGGCAGTTGGAATGTGCAGCCCAGGGTGAGAGCTGGCCCGCCCTTTGCATCTGGCTGGCATTTGTAGTTTGGGCAAAGCCATCTTTAGGGTCCTTCCAATCCGTAAGATATTTTGGCAACTTGCGCCGTCCCCCGGTGCGGCCAGCAGCGTCCTCCCCTGCACCTGTGCCCCCTGGCCGGCGTGGCGCTGAGCGCAGGAGAAGGTGTCGCAGGCTGCGCTGGGGGTGCACGTGGATTGCTGTGCTGTTTGTTGTCTCTGCCCTTGCTGCATGTTGTGCTGACCTGTCCCTCCACAAATGCTGTCTTGTCCTCCTCTTTGTTTTCCTTTTTTTAAAAGGATATCCAGGGTTTCAAGTTCCTAGTCTAAGATTTGCCATACTTCAAAGATACCAGTTGGAAAAGAGATGTCCCCCTCAAAAGTCAGTTTGGCTGCTGACTTCCCACATTGTGAGGGGGAGGGGGTGGTGAGAGGTCCATCCGACTTGGAACGGGATGTGGAGGACAGGCAGAAGGGGCTGTGGCCAGGTCGTAGCCAGAGAGTGTCTTCCCCGACCAACAGACCTCTTATTCTTGCAGGTCGGACATCTCCAAAGTATAACTGTAGAGTGCTCTCTCTTGTGCACCCTCTGGCCCCCTTGAGCACAGGCAGGCAGGGGTGTGCATGCTCACACACACCCTTATACTCATGCCCTTGCACTCTGGCTGCATGGGTGCGACCCAAGCCTCGTGCTGACAACCCTGAGGGAGATGGGGTTGGGAGACAGAGGTTTGGAAAACTAATTCCTTCATTTGTTAAAGTCAGAAGTTAAAAACCATCATCTGTCCCTTTAAGGGGATGTTCTTTGTCTTGAGGTGAGAGAAAAGAGGAAAATAGAAACAGTGACAGGGGCTTGGCCTGTGCCATTGGAGAGTTTGCATTCTGAGCATCCCGGGTGAACCAGGAACCCCCTTTCCACCCTTTCATAACCTGTCAGTCCTGGGCTTGTCACACTGCTGAATTTCAGTAGTGATGTGACATGCCCAACTCTTGTTTTCTGTGATTTTTGTATTTGGTCTCAGGAGGCAGCTGTTAATAAGAGTGAGATTCCAGAACGGAGCCCTTTCTTTCCCTGTATCCCCAGGGAGGAGAACCCCTCCCTCAGATTTGTGTGCACATCTATGTGTGTGCATATGTACCTTAGCTGTGCAGACACACCATGCAGAAGGCTCCCTAGAAACCCTGGTAAATACTCAGCAGCCCGGGCCCCCAACCAGAAGAGGCTCATTCCTTTGCCAGTTACCAGGTAGACCGGCTGCTTCCGTGGAGCTGGCCCTCCTAAAGGGAACAGAGAGGCTGTTCCTATCTCTTGCTCAGTCTTCTGTTTAATTTCATGGTGCCTCCCAACGTCCGGAAGAGCTTGCTTATGACCTCTTTCCACTCTCCTAAACACTTACTGAACATCTAATGAGTAAGTGCCTCATGCAGGGCACCAAGTGGAGTGAAGCAAGGTCCCACCCTCAGGGGGCCCCCAACCTGAAGAAGAGGCAGGTGTCCACTGGGTGGCGAGCCCTGTGGTTCAGCCCCCTGGGGCCCGAGTGAGAGGCACCCAGCCAGACCTCAGATGAGGTGGAAGTATGGAAGCTCAGGGCGGGCTGGTCCCATGCTGCTGCTTCCCAGGAGTCACACGGTGCTGAGCGCCGTCCTCTCTGCCAGCAGTCTGGGCTGTAGGCTGGGCATTAAAGCCCCTCTCCCACCCACACTGACTTGGTTTGCTCACCTACACCACAAGGGCTGTAGGACACCTTGCCCAGGCACGTGGCCCAGGAGGTGTGTGGGCCACAGGCAGGTGCCAGTCTCCCTGCCCCGTTCAGTAGCCTCATTCTGTTCCTCGGGGCTAGGGGTGGCCTGAAGAGCAGTTCGTTCCCTGGACCCACAACCCAGCCTCAGCCAAGAGAACTAGTCTGCCCGTGAGATGCAGGGTCCCACCGCGCATTTCTGTCTTTGGGAGCAACTGAGGTCCTGTAGTGTTCTCTTTCACTGGATGCCCGCCCACCTTGGCGCATTGTGTCCCAGGATGTGAATTAGAAAGTAGCGTGTCTGAGCCTGTGTCCGAGGCTGCCCACCCTCAAGTCCAGGTCCAGGCAGAGCCCCTGGCATCTTCTCAGGGAGGGAGCAGCTGCATTGTCCTGGGACATTAACCACACATTGTTATAAAGGGGGGAGGGGCCCATCCTTCTGAACCACTGCTTCCTTTCCATTCATTAATACATTTTCAATCTTTGATTTCTTAAAGCCAACTGAAAGTGACAATGTCCCTGTCCCCACCGCTACACCCGGGGTAAGATCAGTGATGAGTCCCCCCGGGGCTGGGCCTTTTCCTTGACCATGCTGAGTTTTCCACTAGTGTTTCTGTATTCTCCATGATTGTCCTTCCAGAACAGTGTCTGCAGTGGTTTGCATTCATCATCAGTGTCCAGTACTCTTGGCCAGCCCGGCGTTCTCCTCTTAACACACTAGACCACGTGGGCATGCATGTGCTGTGTGGACGCGGTTTTCCAAGCCCTGTGTTGTTAGCATGTAACTCTTCCTTTCATATCATGCTTTTTAAGGTGAAAAGGCCCTAGAAACACATCTTCAACTCTTACCTCTGTCACCTTTGTTTGCCTCTGTTGCTGTTTTTCTGAAAGTGTTGCATGTTCTACTTTGCATTGGGTTTGACCTCTCCATGATAACCCTTCAGAACTCTGAAGAGAGCAATAGAATCTCCATCACCTTTTTCCGTCTTTTCCGAGTGATGCGGTTGGTGAAGCTTCTCAGCAGGGGGGAAGGCATCCGGACACTGCTGTGGACTTTTATAAAGTCCTTTCAGGTAAGAGCCCCACAAGGGGCTTATCTGTTGCTCCTGAAGACCACATGTGAACCAGTGAGCATCCTCTGTCATGGAGGACCGGGACTCCCTTCGGCATGGCCACTGGGATCCCCTGAGTCGATAGAGGGAGTGGAATGCGGAAGGCACCTGACCCAGCCGGACTCAGTGAATCAAACAGGATCACTCGCTAAGAGGAAACCAAAGGCAGTAAGGACCCACAGCTGAGGACAGGTGTAACCTTTCTAAGACTAGTAGAGACGGGGAGCCTCGAAGCCCCTCAGTCCTCCCTGGGATACCCAGTGGTGAATGGTGACATCTGAGAGAGGGCAGGTCCCAGGTGACCCCTGCAAACCTAACAGCCTCCTGCCAGGACAGCTTCTTGGGCTGCCATGGTCCTATCTGTTGGCCGGTCTACACACGAACCAGAGACCCCCTCACCCGGGCCGGCACACCATCACGGAGCAATGTGTTACCCAGTGCCTGGAAGGATCAGAGCGTTGAGGACATTTGGGCATAAGCCAAGCCTCCCTTGTCATCTGTGACTCTCCAGGCTGGTGCAGGCTGGTTCTAGTCTATTCCTCAACCAGGACCCGGCTTCTCCGGTACTGTCTAGTACTCCATCCCAGACGTTCTAGTCTTCTAGATGGAATTAACTGAGGACAGGGTACAGATTCTCATCAAAAAGATTCACCTATGTAGGGGATTTGTAGCTATGTGCAAATCATGAATCTTTCTTTGTTTGACTATCTTTAATTTGAAAGTAATAAACATTCACATTGAGAAGTAACACCGGTTAACATCCCACATAGCATTTTTCTGCAGTGGGTGGGATTTTAACACATAAAGGGAAGGGATGGCATCTGGGGAAGGGGGTAGATCTAAAAACTCAAAGAAGGAAAATTCCAAATCCTGGCAGGGGAAATGAGGTTGTAGGAAGAACCAGGCACGAAGCTCTGAGAGAGAGCAAGTGGGGCCTCACGGGAGCCTTGGTCTCGGCAAGAGACAAAATCCCAGATGTTTGTTATTAATATAAAGTACCAAAATCTGAGAACGAACTGCTGTAAAAAATGGAATAGTTTTACGTAATCGTGTCATCCTCGCTTTTCAAGGAATTATTAAAGTTTTCCTTTTTAAAGATTTGGTCGCTGTAGATAAATTCATTTCACAGGGTGGTAGTTCACAAAAACTGAGAAACGGTGCCAAAGGAATTCTGAAAGACTCCGTCATCTAGGAAGAAAATGCGTGTAGGTGTGGTGAGGAAAGCCTGGAACTAACTCTGTGGGGCTCTGATCAGCAGTTGGCAGTCACAGATCCAGAGCTGGCACAGGTCAGGGAGCTTATAGCCGCTGGCTTTCTGGTGGCCTTTTTTGAGTAAAAGGGAAAGCGGATGCTTTAAGCATGTGCGCTTGGCATTGAGTTCAACAACCCGGCCTCTGCCTGGAGGCGTGCACGTGCACAGACATCTCCTGTCACACAACATGATGTAGAAAAGCAGGTGAAGATTATGGATTGAAGGACCCGACACATATATGTGTATTTAATGTTCAGTCCTAAGGAGAACCCAGGTTTGGCCACCACCCGGCTAGCTCCTTTTCTTCCCTGACCCAACCCCCAACTCTGGTTCCTTCAGGAGGTGTTCATTTTAAGAAAGCTATCTTGCTTTCTATAGCAGCATCTGGAAAGGGGTTCTTCTCCTCTGCCCCAGCAGTGTCATTCCTAAGACCTCCCCTTAAAGAAATACTTCAGCAGACACGGGAGATTTTGCATAAAGATGTTCCTCTGCAACGTGATCTACAGTAGCCCCTCGCCCCCATCCCAAACATGCCCACAAAAGAAAGTGGAAGCAATCCAAACATCCAGTGTTCTGGAATGGTTTGATCACTTATGGTAATTTCACAAAGGAATCTAATGACGGATGTAAACGTTGTTGTGAGGGTGATGTGTCTGCATTGACACTGTTTCGGATCAGGGCACACTATTAATGATGGTGGAAAGCACTTCTGCCTGTAGCTTCATAACACGAGGCGTACAGATGGATGGTGCCCTCAGGACTGAAATCATCGTGCTGGGCTGTGGTTTAAAAAGTCCTTGTTCACTGTTGGCGTCCTTTCAACACAACCTGGAAAAGAGAAGCATGTGACCCTGTGTTGGGTCTTCATTCTGCACCTGAGCAGTCACGGGGGGTGGAGGGGGACACAAGAAGCTGGTACTGAGCCAAAGGCTTCCTCTCTTCCAGGCACTGCCCTATGTCGCCCTCCTCATAGCCATGCTATTCTTCATCTACGCGGTTATTGGCATGCAGGTAAGCACCAGCCACTTTCCCCCAGCTTCCCCTTCTCTGGGTAGCCCCAGATCTGTGGCAAGATTGCCTTGGCCAGGCAGAATGGAAAGACAGGGTTATGATTTTCCAGCCAAACGCCTTGGCTACTGAAGACATATGGAGATGAGAAGGACGTGGCTCTGTAGGAGAGCACTCCATAGGAAAGCACCTGTGCCAGGGAGAGCCAGGCTCAGGAGCCAGCAGAGGTAGGGATATGCCAAGGAAGGCTGGGTTTAGTGGTACTCCTCACCCCCCAATCTGAGTCCTGGGAGACTCAACTGATTGAGAAAACCCACAGTTGGTTTAGCAACAGGAAATGCAGCACTTAAAAAAAGCTGTAGTTGTTCTAGTTTCTGTACTGATGTAACTAAGGAGATATTAGTGATACAGAAGGCTGTTTATAGTCCGGAAAGTTAGGTTTTATCGCAACCAAGTGAGATTTTCACTTGAGACCGGTGGCTCCCAGATGCTGGGGCTGGGGCTGAACTGGAACCATTAGTTGGCATCGGTAGCACCCCCTTTAAAAAAGAAGCATGAAACCAGGCCTTTCTGTGACCATGACTGAGGTGCCACAGGATTGTTCCCTGCTTCTCCTGGAGTGGAGGAAAGGGACTGGGGCTTCATTCCCTGCTGAGCCCCAGTGGAGTAGGTGCAGCCTCCAGGAGGAGAGGGGGATGGAGCACAGCCTGCTGGACCCCCTGGGGGGTTTCTCTGCCACATCCTCTGCTGGCTTGGATGCTGTCTTTCAGATAAGAGGGATGTGAGTGTCAAAGAGGTGGGGGACTCCAGAGCAGAGAGGTGGCTGTGCTTACTTACCTGAAGGCATAGGAGCATTGGCAGTTCGCTAGGGATCTTATTGGGAGTTATGAACATAGAGTCGACACAGTTGAGCACCTGCAGCTCAGCATGGGATGCCGTGTGCCCTGAAGGGTCTTCGATGACCTGGTGTCCTCCCACAGAACGAGAGCGGTCTCAGGAAACTGCACCCTGCATATTGCACGTTCCGTCACCGGTTCACTCAGGAGGCTTTGCCGGGCATCACACTCTTCTAAACTGGCCTGCTCCTCCAAGTTCCACAGCTGACTTCCCCTGGCCCTTCAAGTAGAGGCCGCCCTCCTTTCCGCAGCTCACCGGCCCCACGCTTGTCTGCAGCCCGATCTTTTGTCTGTGTACACTCATGTTCTTTTCATTTCCTGGAGCTCCGGGGCCGTGTTGCCTCTGCTCCTTCACAGGCCATGCTTCCTCTGCCTGAACACTGAGTCCTCCTCGTCACCTGACCAGCCTCTACTTTTCCTTCAGTTCTGGGCCTAAATGTCACTGCTCCAGAGGCCTCAGATACATTATGTGCTTCCTTGTCCATCTGGATCATCCCAGCTGTCCTCGGGGTGGGGGCTGTCTGTCTGATTTCCTGGTAGTTACTCCCTGATGTGAGGGTGTGCCTGACTTCAGCACCGCGCCACCCGTGGTTAGCACCCTGCCTGGCATGTTTGTTGAGTGAATGAAGTGCCCAAGCACCATGAGAAAGCCCTAGTGGGTGTTGATCAAACTCGTGTTAGTTCTAAATTCACATGTGGAATCTGCTTTTTGGGTAGTTTTTGGCGGGGGAGGGATAATTGTGGGGGTTTTTTGTTTGTTTGTTTGTTTGTTTGTTTGACAAAATCTTTATTTCCCTAAAAATTTTTCCACCTAGATGTTTGGGAAGGTTGCTATGAGAGATAACAACCAGATCAACAGGAACAACAATTTCCAGACCTTTCCCCAGGCAGTGCTGCTGCTCTTCAGGTGACTTCATCCCACAAGGCACATCTCTCTCCAGGCTCCAGGCTCTGGTGTGACATGGGACATGTGTTTTGCGGGGCCTTTCCTGGTTGATCATGGTGGCTGTTTGTATTTGTTTTGAATTCTTGAACAGAGATGCTGGCATGTCAGTCACAGAGGAACTTTTCTGGATGGTGAAAATGGCTGTGGCCATTCAGACCATGGCTGGCTTAAGAGTTATCCCTTTGTAAGTTAGTAGGTCTTCTACTGCCACCAGGAAATGGTAGGTTATATGCTGACACGTGGGAGCACGTGTCTAAATACAACCATGAAATTTAGCAAGAGCAGAGAGACCTTTACACGGCCAGTGGGGAACATACACAATTTCAGATTTTATAGGATTGTTTTTAACCCCAGTGAACTTTGTGAACAAGGTGCTTTGAGGTGAGAGAACTTTCTAGAAGTTATACACGTACTTTCTAATGATTCTAGTGATTGAATAGCAAGCCATTTGCCAGTTGGGTGGTTTCCAGTTCTTTGTTTCCAACAAAATTGAATGGGTGTCTACTCAAGTCAGGTGTTAAGTCATTAAAACATAATTAATAATTATTTAAAGATTGGAACATGAGCATTTAAAGAAGAGAAGACACAAAAACAAACATCTGTTTATGCAAAAAGAATTGATGTGCATGTATCCAATGATTTTTTTTACTTTTTAATGTTTATTTTTGAGAAAGAGACAGAGCACGAGCGGGAGAGGGGCAGACACAGAATCTGAAGCAGGCTCCAGGCTCTGAGCTGTCAGCACAGAGCCTGACAGGGGGCTCAAACCCAGGAACCATGAGGTCATGACCTGAGCCAAAATCAGATGCTTAACCAACTGAGCCACCCAGGCACCCCTCAAATGATTGTTTTAAACCAAAGGGAGCTGTAGCAGGGCCTCTGTGGACTCAGAGACGTTGCATTTGAAAATAAGTAGGAATTTCAATTTAAGAATTTTCACTAATCTGAAGTGCCCTCTCCCCCAAATTACTTAGATTTTGCTCTACTTAAAACTTTTGTTTTTAAAAAAATTCTTAAAAATTTCGGAAAGGTCTAAGCTTCAAATCCCTTCTTCTTCTGCTAAAGCCCTTTCTCTTGTTAATCTAAACAAGGTGTGCCACAGGGGAAGCCTGGCAGGAGATCATGCTGGCCTGCCTCCCGGGGAAGCTCTGTGACCCCGAGTCGGATTACAGCCCCGGGGAGGAGTACACGTGTGGAAGCAACTTCGCCATTGTTTATTTCATCAGTTTTTACATGCTCTGCGCATTTCTGGTGGGTGATCACGAGAGCTCCCTTTCTCAATTGACAGGTGCTTGTATAGCATTTGGGATTCAGATCACGAATATTGTCCCCATCGAATTGCTGTGGGGTATTTTTTTTTTTAATTTTTTTTAATGTTATATTTATTTTTGAAAGAGTGAGAGTACGAGTGGGGGAGGGACAGAGAAGGGGGGGGCGGTGAGGGGAGACACAGAATCTGAAGCAGGCTGCAGGCTCTGAGCTGTCAGCTCAAAGCCCAACATGGGACACGAACCCATGGGCCCCGGAGATTACGACCTGAGCCGAAGTCGGCCGTTTTTGTTTTTGTTTTTTTTTAATTTTTTTTTTCAACGTTTATTTATTTTTGGGATAGAGAGAGACAGAGCATGAACGGGGGAGGGGCAGAGAGAGAGGGAGACACAGAATCGGAAACAGGCTCCAGGCTCTGAGCCATCAGCCCAGAGCCCGACGCGGGGCTCGAACTCACGGACCGCGAGATCGTGACCTGGCTGAAGTCGGACGCTTAACCGACTGCGCCACCCAGGCGCCCCCGAAGTCGGCCGTTTAACCAACAGAGCCACCCAGGCACCCCTGCTATGGGCATTGTATGTTGATGAGCACTCTAGGCTTCATTTGGCAGTTGGAGGTTTTGCTTCGCCAGGTGCATAACCATCACCTTGGTTGTAAACAGGGGCTTGAGGCTCACTTACAGGCTTGGGACACTCACCAAGCTTCTTAGGGCTGCTGGTGTCTTTATAAAAAGTTTCAAAGCCACCGCAGGTAGCAGTGACCTAACAGTGCGAGTTATTTGGCCGGCAATGAATGTGCTTCAAAAAGGCAGGATAATACAGCCCCCTGCCTCCCCCTGGGACTATACCAAAGTCATTTTGGAAAGCTGGAAGCCTGCCTTTTTCTTAAACATTTTCCAGAAAGAAAGTTTTTACTGCCTCTCGTAGAAAAATGGGTTCCAAACGTTTCATGACCCTTATAATTAGGAGGCCCTTACTAAGGTCTAACCCTAGCCATTCCACTATGACAGCTGCAGCTTCTTTGCCTCTGATTTGCTTTTTCAGATCATCAACCTGTTTGTAGCTGTCATCATGGACAACTTTGATTATCTGACCCGGGACTGGTCTATTCTGGGGCCTCACCATTTGGATGAATTCAAAAGAATATGGTCAGAATATGACCCTGAGGCAAAGTAAGTTGAAAAGGGTTCCGTGTGATTTGTGTGGGCTGTTTCTGGAACGTTGGCCATGATTTCTGTGGAAGGCAGGATGGGCTGAGAGCTCAGGCCAGCCAACGCTTCCCTGGACCTCCTGCTGTACTTTGTCTCCAGGGGAAGGATCAAGCACCTTGATGTGGTCACTCTGCTCCGCAGAATCCAGCCTCCCCTGGGGTTTGGGAAATTATGCCCACACAGAGTAGCCTGTAAGGTAAGTGTCCTGTCTGCGTGTCTGATGGCCTCTCTGCAGGGACTCCCTGCTTCATTCAACAAACGTTAAGTAACATTCTGCCAGCCTTACATCAGGCGTGCTGGGGCTGCAGAGATAAATAATATGTGGTTCCTGTCCTGAGGAGCTATCACATTTGTAACTCTTAAGACACCCTGTCAGCGACAGGAAGAATAGGAAGGGAGTTAAGTAATTTGTCACCGGGTGGGTGGAGGGGAAGGTGACATTTGTGTCAGGTCCAGAAGGAGAGAAGTGGGAGTTTGTGGGAGCAGGAAGGGCATTGCAGAAAGGGAACACAGAGAGCTCAGATGCAGAGGCAGGGGAACGGTCACCATGTTGGCAAACGGAGAGTCACTGGTGTGCCTAGAACATAAGAGGAAATGGCAGAGGACTGCAGGCACAAGCCGAGCACAGCTCCAGGGAGCCTCCCATGCCACGCCGAGTCCCGTGAAAGAAGCACGGGTGGACTTTCACGGTGGAAAGTGGCCTCTTGGCGACGGGAGAGTGAACCGAGGCAGGGGACCTCCCTGAGAGCTGCTGGAGTCTCCATGTAAAGTGACAGGAGCCAGAGCGAGGGCAGTGGAGGTGGGGTAGAGGGGGGTACGGCCGACCGAAGCTCTCCTTGGGAAGTAGAATGGAGAAGACTTGGTGCCCTGAACATTTACTCGCTTGAGTGACCATGAACGTGGTGGCGTGCCCCTCTGCTGCCAGAGCACCTGTCCCCATGGGCCGTGCATCAGCAGTGGCCTCTCGGGGATGGGTCCAGATCCCTACCCCGTCCCTGTAGTTTTCACACCATACCAAGCTGTCTGTGAGCCCCAACTGAGATTTGTTCTCCTTCCTTAGAGCTCACAGGGAACCGCTTTGAGTCAGTGTAGCAGTAGCAACAGAAGAGAATTCTCCTTTCTGAAGGAGATGGAAACTGCGACTCTGCCCCTAGAAATCCAGCCTGTCCACACGACAGCTGGGCCCTCTCCCTGCAGGTCTGAGGTGCTTCTGGGATCGGGGGTTTTACTGCTCCAGGGTTGCGGGGCCAGCTCTAGACAGAACCCACTGTAACAGAGTGGGGTCTACACTGCATCTTAGGCTTTCAAAAAATCTTTGGAGAAAAACTCTTTGTTCCCTGCCCTGAAAGTCCAGAAACCCTCGTTGGCAAGTCCTTGGGATCTTTGCCACTGTCTTTGCTTCTCTGTAGCCTGGACTCCGGATGTAGGTACAGAGAATAAGCCACCGAAGTTGACTTTTTTTCCTTAAATTTTCCAGTACCAGCCTCTTTTCTGCTTTCAGAACAAGATGGGTTCCAGCTCATGGCTGTCGTTTTGTGTTTACGTTTCCAGACCTTTTTACATAAAGGATCTAAGTATCCTTGAGGCACAAAGTGGTCCATTTTGCCGATTCAGGAACTTTCTGGGAAAAGCAAATGTACATGCTAGCCATCCTGGCTGCCAGTGCTAGTTTTGGAGACAGACGTGGTTGGTCTCAGGGCTAGAAATTTAGGTGGGATGAGTCACGTGAACACAAGATTCCAGGCTGCTAATAGGGAAGAGAAAAAGTGTTACAAATCTCTTAGGATGGCTTGCCAGCCAAAAACAAGAAGTTTGGAACTATTAACAGTTACAAGTAGCACTTAACTCAGCTCTGACCACGTGCCAGGCGTCCCCCAAAATCTTAGCGTCCATGATCTCCCTTAATCCCAGCTAGGCGTGCCACCTGCATTTGCAGGGGAGGTAACTGGGGCCCAGAGAGGGTGTCACTCACTCAAGTCCCCTCCCCAGCTCTCAGGGCTGGTGTTCGAGGGACCAGGAGCGGGAAGAGGAGCAGGAGGTGGGGGTCCTGCCCTGGAAGACCAGACAGAGCCACCGCGCGGACTCACAGGAAGCACTACATGACAGCCCCACGGGGCAGGGTTCCCTGAAGGACACTCCCTGTGCTAGGAACAGTGAGGACCCAAGTCCCAAGCCCTGTGCCTGACTGGTTGTACCTGGTGTATTATTTCACCCCTCATGACAGCCTTAAGGACATGCCCTGAAGGGAGGCCTGACCCCAGGACGCAGGGATGGCCGCTTAGCAGAAGGGGAGAGAAGAAGACTTGAACAGTGAGGTGATTAAACAGTGGGGCTTAAAAACAAGCAAAGCACACCATTTAGTGCCAGCATTTGCGTTTCATGATAAAGCTTTGATCTGTGTCAGCTCCAGGGTCCCCACAGATGGTGGGTACTCCCCCAGCGAGTTGTTGAATTGAACTGCGTGTCGACTGGAAAGAAGGTGAGGGATAAACTGAGAATAAACACCGTCAAGGGACGTGGTCATCCTCCATCATTTGCCTTCTGTTGAGAAACTTCTTTCTGTTTACAGAGACTAGTTGCCATGAACATGCCTCTCAACAGCGATGGGACAGTCATGTTTAATGCAACTCTGTTTGCTTTGGTTCGGACGGCTCTTAAAATCAAGACGGAAGGTGAGCATCTCCGGGACAGGACAGGTGGTACATGAGGGAGGGACGCCATACCCCACATTGGGTTCTCCCCTCTAGGCCTTTCCTTGTCCTGTCTGGGCCTTCCCCTGGGGAAGGGGTGGTGAGTGCTGAGCCAGCTGGCTGTCCCTGCCTTCCCCACCCCTTCCCGCCTGCCTTTATGCTTCACTTTGTCCCCGAGAGTTTTGAGGTGACCCCTGCCTCTGCCACTGCTTGCTACAGAGCAGAAGAAACGGGAGGTTAGGGCAGAGACAGGACCGTCACAAATACATTCACTCCAGCTGTCCCTTCCTACTGTGTGATCTTCAGAGAGGGACTCCACCGTGCTGAGCTGTAGCTCCTTCCTCTATTGAAAAGAAATACACCTCCATCAGAAGTCCTGAGGATGAGATGAGAGGAGGCCTGCGGGAGCCCCTCTGCGGGGCGGGCACATAGCTGGCACCTGGGGACTGTTCAAAGGAGCCTCTCCCTAGCTGAGACCAAACCAGAGTGGTCTTCATGGCCACACCCAGCCCTGGAGCATGGCCATTGGGGTCGGCTCGGTGATGACTCCAGAGATGGGACAGAAAGCAGGTTGAGGAGTGACCAGAAGGTGGGAGGCTGGAGGCTGTGAAGGACCCAGTTGTTGACACCCTGGACCAGAAGGAAGAGTGGCCAGCAAGGCACGCCTACAGTCTGCAGACGGCTGTTTTCTGGCAGCCCCAGAGTGCTAGGCGAACCTCTCCACAAAGCCAGTCTCTCCAAGCTCCCAGGTACCCCTTGCAGGGTGCACACCCATAGCTGGCCCCAGCCAGTGTCTCCGAGCGATGCGGAAGGCAGGGTGGTCTTAGGTACTGACAGGTTAGTGGAGGAGACAGGCATCAGCCCATATAATGAAAGACCAGGATTCTGTGGTGCTGACGAGTACATGCAGTAGGGATTGCAAGAGTCTCATTTGGGGGAAATTTAGTCTGATCTTTAAGGATGGAGGCAGGGTTTAGAACAGGCAGCTGAGAAGGAGAAGACATTGTAGCTGGAGGCGGTGGGAAGGAAGGGGTGGGTCTTGGCTGTGGGAGGGTAGGACAGATCAGACTGCATAGACCTTGAATTCCGAAATAAAACGTGGTTGTTCCCACTGTGGAGTGCCTGCCCGGTGCAAGGCTTGCCCACCATTTGCCTGTGACCCCCACTTGGAGAGCCCTGGGGAGAGAAGAGCCCCGCCCCATCCGAGGGCTGTGCCCCAGGCCAGGCTGGGAGGGAGGCAGCCTCGGTGGGATCAGACAGGAGAGCTGGCTAAGAGACACAAGGCTTGTTTTCCCCTCTTGCTTTCTGGATTCAGGGAACCTGGAACAAGCTAATGAAGAGCTCCGAGCTGTGATAAAGAAAATCTGGAAGAAAACCAGCATGAAACTGCTTGACCAAGTTGTCCCTCCAGCTGGTGGTCAGTGCAATCTCTTTCCTAAGTAGTTCTTGGCCAACGCATTGGTTTTAATGAAAGTATCTCCAGCAAGCCCACAGGGTGTTTGCAGAATGCTTTATGTATCCGCTAGAGCATTCAGGCCCACAGCTAAAGAAGGCTCTTTGGCCTTTTGGTGTCATGATTTGGGGTAACAGGAGGACCATTCCAGAAAAGGAGAGGCTTCAGTGGGAAGGAAACCCAAGACTCAGCTGGCTGGAGCAGGGGTTTTCTCGTTGGTGGAGGGATTACCGCTGGGGAATGAGATTACAGTTGCAAAACGGAAAGCTTATATTTTCTCAACCAAAATGAAATATTTAAAACTAGTTTCCACTTATCTTTCAACATACTGTTGAAAAGGTTTCAGAAGAAATAGATAGCTTTCAGAAAATGATATTTTTGAAATGTTCTTCTCCAGACTGAATTTACCATCGTAATTACCCAGAATGTCCCTTCAACTGGAGTTTAGAGACAGAACTAACAGGCATGCTTATTTCCTTTTGTTATTTGTCATAAAATAACTGACTAAACTTTTTCAGATGTATATATATATATGATACACATATATATAATATATATGCTGTTTTTCCATTTTTTGTTTAAGTACACCGGACTTAGACGTGGAGGTGGTTGTTTTGTGACTATTTTATTTCCACGTTTTAAAGGTGCAGCATCCGTAGGCTTAGTGCCACCACGCCCACATCCTAGCCGTCCCCAGCCCTGGGCCCATTGTGAGCACCATTGTGCTTTACGACCAACTGAACTTTTCTAGCGTCACCTCTCCTGCCGCTTTCCAGGTTGGTCCTGGCTCAGGCCTAGAAGCCGACCCAGGACCCTGGGCCAGGACATGGCCAAGGCCTCTCTCTCTGACGTGACAATTCTGGCTCTTGGGTGGCAGAGAGACAGAGACAGCAGCATGGTGGCCCGCTCTGGCCCTCTGCATGAAGCGAGAACAGTGTGAGCTTTTGCCACCGGACGGAGTCCCCCGTAGCTGGTGGAGCCACCTGCTCAGAGCAGGGGATGGTGGCCCCAAAGAAATGAGAAAGGCAAAAAAACCAACAAGCAAAACCCCCCAAACACCAAAGAACAACAACAACAACAACAACAACCCCCCACACTCCCACGTAGAGAACGCTGGCTCCCCACAGGAGAACGGATACTGCACATTTAAAACGACTCTTTGGTTTTCGTTCTTTTCCTCGCAGCTGCTGCACCCAGTGCTCGCATGGCTTAGATAAATTGCTTTCTTAAAATTGTTGTAACGATGTGCTTGAGCTTTTTCTGCAGCCTCCATTCCTTTCAAGTCTCAGTCTTTCAGAATATTCTGAAGCAATTCTGTTTTAGGGTGGTGGCATGGAATCAGGGTTATCTCTTGGCAGCCGTATTCCCCTACGATGTTTCTGAAACACAGATGCATGCTTCAGAATAGCGGCTGCGCCCCTCCGAGTAAACCTTCCTCCCAGGGCCGGCAGGCCCCCCCCGCCTCACCTCACCTCTGTTCACACGCCACCGCCTTCACAAACCAGTCTCACCCCGACATCTTGGCGAGCGTGTTCACATCACTGTGAAGCTTTATTTCTCTTAATTATACCAGAAAGAGAAGGTCTAGAGTTTGGCTCACCCTGTAAGCGCCCTTCCTCCGAAAAACAGGTCAACTTTTAGCCCTGCTAGACTGCCAACAGAGGCTAAATATCCCTCTGCTTTCTTGGCTCAATAACTGGGCCTGGCCTTTTCTATTTCTTAGAAAAGATCGGGGTTCAGGATGACAGGTGTTACCCTCTTCCAGAATGGCAGCAGGGGGCTTGGTGGAACCCAAGAAGAAGGCAGTGGGGCCTTGGCAGGAGGTAGAATGCCGTGGGAGCTCCCATCATTGATATGCTCCTGGGGTGGTGCTCACCCAGGCCCAATCTCAGATAAGTGCTACTGCGCTGAAGAGGTTCACGAGGCAGTGCTTCTCAGGCATCGGGGGACAAACTCTGAATGAAGTCAGGGCAGGGTTTAGTGCCTACGTTCTCCACTTGGCTCTTTGTTTTTTCTTTTCTCTTCCAGTAGACCAGGGGTTCCCAGACTCGCCCACATCATGGCACCCTTGGAAAATGGGAATATTGGGCCAGCCCTCTGGGCCAGCAGACGGGTAGATCCCCAGGGCCAAGGGGCTCAGGCTGTAACCCGGTCGGAGCAGCAGACCCCGCCAGGCTGGCTGCTCCCGGTGCCTGGGACCGGCCCATGTGAGGTGCTCAGGGAGCCCCTTACAGGACTGGTGACAGCTTTGTAGCCCAGGGGGTGTGAGGTGGCCCCCAGGCCATCACAAGCTTGAGAAGGAGGTGACATCCAGGGGCCAGCCTCGGAGGAACAGTGCAGGGGCCTGTGGCTGCAGGCACAGCCCATCCGTTCTCTCTACCATCTGGGCTAAGTGGTCTCCTTGCCCATCTCTGCATCTTGCTCATGTTCTCTCTCTGCTCCGCTCTTTAGTCTTCTGCCATTTCATGGCTCTTTGCCCTTTCTTTAGAAGTCCCCTCTCCTCCCAGAGGCTGTCCTTGCCTTTGGGCCTCTACTCCTTGACCTGGATCTCCGTCTCCTTTGCCCCGAAGAGTGCAAAAAGCTGACCCCATCTCTTTTTCTCCAGGCCTGAGCCTGGATGGCCTCACTGCATCCATTCCTTCTGTCCCTTCCTTTTCTAACCTGCTGTAGCTTTGACTTTTTCTGTTCTTGAGAGCTCATCCTCAGCCCAGCCTCAATTAGCTTAGCATCTCAGTGGAGAAGGCCAAGTGGTGGGCCTGCCTGTGCTCTGGAGCGGCCGCTCGGGCAGAACCATGGTCTGCGCTGAGCCCCCTGTTGCCCCTGGTTCTGGGCCGGGAGAGCCAAGACCTTCCCTCAGGAGCCCCCTGGGCCATTTTGGCTCAAGGGAGAAGAGGGTTAGGCCTGTATTTTCGGGAAACGTCCCAGTATGGAATGAGGTGGGCCTTCTGCAGACCCAGTGTATTTTTCTGGGAGCCCACGGAGAAGACGTGACACCATGGGCTGCAGGGGACAGCTGTAGTACGGTAGGCAGAGTCTTCCTGGGCTCCCGGGGTTGTCTGCTGGCAGCCGTGAGCCGCCCACGGCATGCAGCTCAGTACAGAGACTTATACTCTGGGGGAGGCAGCCCCAAAGAAGCCCCTCTATGTGGCCAGAGCTGGGCTGTCCCTGAGGGGGTAACGAGGAGGAGAGCTCAGGGTTGGGAGGCCTGCTGCCCTGGGCTCACATCCCAGCTGCACTGGCCAAGACAAGTCCTTCAGCCCCACCCCGCCTGTCGGAGGGACCAACAGGTCCCCCATCTCAGAGCTGTCGTGAAGAGGCCATGAGACCCACGTGGAGTTCCTCTGGGAGCGTGGGTGCCCCAGAGTAACAGCAGCTAGAACCAGTATTCCAGATGCATCCTGGGCAAAATGCGGAGGGGCTTAGGAGCAAAGCCGGGCTGAAGTCCTGAGACCTGGACGGTCTGTTCACCTCTTGGCCTCCTTGCCCATGGACAGTACATCATTAGGCCATTTGGACCAGCCTGAGACTGATGTAGGACATGTTTTTACAAGCTACCCAAAGCCTTGGTCACTTTGGTGACCCCTGCACCAGTCCAGGACTTCTTGGCTGAGGTTTGGGAGGAAGGCAGCACACTTCTCAAGGCCGGCCTCCCCAAGGCATCTTCTTACTCAGTAACGCTGAGTGGCTTCTGGCAGGACACTAGTGGTGTCCAGACGGGGACGCGTCCCACATGGGCACAAATGAACCCCACCCAGATGCATTAGTGAATACAGAGGGTCCCAGTGACCCCTAACCCATCACGTTCCACCATCATTGCAGTGGATGCCATTGTCAGCAGGCTGCCAGCTCACTGTCCTCCAGCCCAGGCAGGAGGCCGAGTGCTTCGGGGCTTCATCTCCTGTGGTGTTCACAGCTCCACAAGCCCCTTGCCCCAGATCAACACGCGACTCTTGTGAGGGGAAGGTGGCCTGGGTGCAAGTTCAGCTGTCCTAAAGCCTGAGGGCCGGCCGCCCATCCTCCTCTCGGCCTCTACAAGCGCTGGGGCCCTAAGCTTCTTGCCTAGGAGCCACTGCAGATCTGGGGGCGTGCACCCCAGGGAGAGCGAGGCTGGCCAACACCCCTGAGCACACCTGCACCACCGACGTGGTTTACCGTGAGACAGCCAGCGCCTCTATTCTGCCTCATGCATCACCTTTAAAATGCTCAGCAGAGTTCCAGCCCCCAGCGGTACGTGCTGGAGTTGTTTCCCATTAAAGCAGAAATAAGCTCAACTCCAAGGTTAGTTGGAGCTGTCGCTCGCTGTGCCGAAAACAAGCAGCTCTGGGTCACAAACGCAGAAATGGCATATGGAGGCTATTGGAACAGAGTCACGGGGGCACGTGAAAATCTGGGTTTGCAGCCACTTTCCTGAACCTTCCTCCTCTTCCAAGCTTGTCTGTCACTTTCTGAGGTCTCTGTCTTTATCTCCAAGCATCGGGATTTGGGTGCTTAATTGCCCTCGGTGTTCATGGTAATTACACATGCAAATCCCTATGCACAGGGGTGAAAATAGGACCCAGGAAGCCTCTTTTTGTTTTGTAATTTTTATTTTAAGTAAATAACCAAGACAGCACTTCATAGTGTTACTAATACGCTGCTCTAATAAACTCATGACAAACATATTGTTTTCTGCAACTTTTGAGTATCAGTTCGTGTGACTGACTCTAATTTTGAGCCTTAACTGCTTTGCAAAACCTTGCTTTTTGCTAGATTTAGTCTCCCGTGTCTAAGCCCAGAGCTCAGTGCCTTGTGCACAGTCCCACCCCACCCCAGCCCCGGCCCCGAGCGAGAGAGTTTAGGCTCCTGGTGCAAATGTGCTGATTCGGGAGAGCTCTGTCTGGTCTCTCCGTTTAGATGATGAGGTAACCGTGGGGAAGTTCTATGCCACTTTCCTGATACAGGACTACTTTAGGAAATTCAAGAAACGGAAAGAACAAGGCCTGGTGGGAAAATACCCTGCGAAGAACACCACCATTGCCCTACAGGTGAATTGTCCTTTTGTTACCTTTTCTTTTCACTAACGATTTTACAAGCTTATTTGAAATACTAGAGAGCTGACTATTCATGGTTGAGCAGTGCCACAAGGATTTTGTTTAAACTGAGATACCGCACACCCCCCAAAATGTGGACTAGTCATTTCTGGGCTCCGAGGTAAGTGCCTCCCTCTCCTTGCTTCTTCTCTGTTGTGCCCGCACCTGCCGTGGCCCTTGTGGCAGGGCCCCCAGGACAGCGGCAGAGGCACAGCCCTGGCGGGCGGGGGGCCGGCGCTCGTCTTGCACCCTGTCTCCTCCAGGCTTCTCCAAAGGCATTAACCTTAGGCAGGCACCCACCTCCCCACCCCTGGCCCTGGCCTCAGGCCCTAGCTGCCCCGGAAACAGCTCTCCATCTGAACGCAAGTGCTTTGTTTTGTTTCTGTTTGTTTCTTACCCCACTGCTTGTTGGTTTTCGGTCCATTTCAGTAACATCCATCACCTCCTGATGTGTGTGTACGTGCATATGTGTGTGCGCGCACGTGTGTTGCGGTGTGTCTGTCTCTCTGCGCTGTGCAAACACTGCTCTGTGCCCAGGCCAGCCTCTGGTCCCTCCCCCTATGCCAGCCCCGGCCTGCCCCAGGCTCCCGGAGTGTAGAACCTCTGGTTCCGGCCAGGGTCCGTGCATTTGAGGATGTAGAATCCTGGGTAATCCCAGAGCTCTGGCCTGGGAAGCAGGTATGTGGAGGAAGGGGGTCACCGTGAAGCCTGCAGGAAGAGGGGCGAGGCAGGAAAGCTTGTGAGTGAGTGCTGGCGATGGAGAAAGGCAGGGGAAAGAGGGAATGACAAGGCATGAAGAACCGGCACGAGGGAACTGTTGGCAAGCTGTCAGAAACACCTGTCCAAACTAATCAAAAGCCCCATCATCTCTGCTCCCCGAGTGCTTGAAGTCCATCATGAATAAGATCAAGGATGTTTTTCTCCTGCTAATTTGTTTACTCTAAAATTACCTTTATGTCCCTCTTATCACATGTCTCAGGTTGGGCCGTGTAGTTATCAACAGGGTTCAGTTTGGAACAGTCCTTCTATCAGTCCCTTCCGAGGAGAAGGTCCCAGCGTTGTTTGGTGTCCAGAGTGCCGGTGAGGTGCGGTGAGGGCTGGTCTGTGGCCTCGCTGAGAGAGAGAATGGGAGCATGAATGGCCGTGAGTGAAGAAATGTGGTGCACATGCAGATGCTGGGTTAGCAGATGACCTTGTGTGCCAGTGACCTGAGGATTCATGAGGAAGCCTCTGTTCTGCCCAGACAGCCGCAGAGCTAGGGGAAGCAACTAAAGACAGTTTCTGGTCTTTTGTTTCTCTCATCGCCTGTCCTAAAGGTGGCTCGGTGAATCAGAGGCCCGGTCCAATGGCCCACTGCCGTCTCAGGCTGTGGAGTTTGCGAGTAAAGCTCTCTCTTCTGGCCCTGCCAGTCCTCAAAAGTGATCACAGTTCACAAGTAGCCTTAGAGAGACGAAGCAAATGGAAAAGACGTGCTTACAGATTTGAACGGGCCTCTGGTCCATCCGTGGGCTCTTGAGAGCAGCGTGGCCAGGTTGGGTGCAAGGAGGAGGTGTGATGAACGAGTTTCTGAAGGAGCTTCCTTGAACAGCCTTGGGCCTGGAGACCTAGACTGGCTGGATTTCAGAGTGTCATGGTTCCCTCCGCCTGTAGGAAACTGCTTGCTATTCTCAGATTCTAGTTGGTGGGGTTGGTAGGACCTGATGACTTCTCTGGAGGGGGAAACATACTCTTTCGTGGATGGTTATGCCATAATTTCCAGTAACCGTAATGTCCATGTTATGACATGCTTCTGTTTTCTGGGGAAGGCATGTATGATGGTCACCTGGATACAGAGTTATCCCTTTCCTGAATCCCCAAGACTTTGCAACCAGATGGCTTCAGTTCCTGCTCTAGTGGCTGGATATAGTGTCTTGATGTTTTAAAACCTGAAAAACAACACATGGCTGAGTAATTAATTATCACATTTCATGGATGGGCTTCCCTGAGTCTTTTAAGTTGCAGGTTCAAATGATGCTAAAACTACGTTTGTAAGTCGTGGGTAAAAGACAATTACATTATGTGTTGCGATAATGTTTTTCTCCCAAACATTTTTCATTTTGTTGTTTGTAGAAAGTGTTTCATTTCCCTGGCGAAATCCAAACGTTTCCTGTTAGATGATAATACCAGCACATCTACACCTGGTTGGAGTTGAGGCTATGACTGTAATTTACGTTGAGTACACAGCCTAGAAAATTAAATTGTGTTCGTGATCTTGACAGATAAATTCTCAAAGTGCTTTGGATTCTGAAGCAAACATGAAAAATAGAAAATTTGTGTCTCCTTGAAGGATAATTCTAATTACATCTTTGGCCTCCTCTGCCCTAGAAGTGGCTTTAAATGTGATTTGTCACTCTACATTTAGTAAGCGCAAGGAGGCTCTTCCTCTCTGTGTGATGAAATATTATGTGATGCCGTGGAGCTAGGGCCACAGGGTCGAATGACAGCGGCACCCACAGTGTCACTAGGTCCAGCACACGGACGTGGGCGTGGTCTGCTGAGAAGCGGGATGAGCTGCTTCTCGCCGAGCCCGGGCGTCACACGCTGACGGACGGATTGCTCATGGCAGGTGGAGTGTGAGCGCGGGAGGAGGACGTAGGCATGTGCGTGCTTGTGCTGCGTAGAGTGCAGTCTGTCTGAGCGGGATCACCACTGGTCCACACACTCTGCTCCCCGTGGAATGGTTCTCAAGGGCACACAGATGCACTGTGGTTTTCAACCCCATGGGCTCCGTCTGGTCTCCCTCTGTCCAGACCCGCTGCGGTGTCCCCTTCTACATGAGGGAGAATGGCTTGAGCTCCTGGATCCGTGTGTGGGGAGGAGCTCGGCACCCGGTGTCCTCTGGCCTCTGTGGTCTGAATGAGTGTGCAGTTTCCATCTGTCCATCCATCTTCATTAAAGCCAGCCTTCTCTCCCACCCTCTGTGGGAAGAGAGCGGGTGGGAGAGAAGCTGCATCAGGCTGCCTTTTTGTTTCCCCCCACACACCTCCACCCCCCATGTGCCATATTCACTTGAGTTTGACCCCACATCTGCTGTTCATCCATTATTGCTGCATCCGACTGACCCGCAAGTTTCCGCCAAGAGCAAGTAAACAAAGGAACGCAGCTCTGCAGCCTTGAAAGTGCTCAGTCCCCTCCCCTCAAATAGTAAAGCCCCACCAGACCTTCCAGATGAAGACTTCCATGCAAGATACAGACATGAATTAGTCCAGTGTCTCATGGATAAGAAAAAAAAAAAAAATCCCAAAGTGGGAAAAGTTTTGTTCATTTCTTTTTCTTTCAACATCCAAGGATTTCCTTTGTGCAAAAGACACTCTGGTGAGATCCAAGGAGACTTATCCCCCAGGCATCCCAGATGGGAGCCTGCCCTTCGTTAATGACAGGGAGACTTAAGCGGGATGGTCTCTTCCTCACCTGGTTGGAAGTTGGGTTGAGGGAGAACACCATTATTCCCAGCTTGTAAAGAACGAAGTCGTTAGGGTTTATGTGAAAGCCCGCGGCCCAGCTGACAGATGGGGATGCAGGTGGTCGAGCGGACGTGGGGGTGGCACACGGGAACCCAGTGACTCTTAGTCCCTGGTGTGCCCTGACGTGGTCACCTTGGGGAGGCTCGGTGCAGAAAGAGAGGGGAACTCACGCCACAGACACTTAACCTGTGCAGTGTCAGACTCCTGTTACCTAGGCACCTTAGTTGAAAACATAGTGAGGTATTTTTCTTTTTTTAAAAGCATGAGTCCATTTAAAGCCATAAAAAAAGGCGCTTTTTTTTT